TGGTGTTCCATCAGTTGATTTTGTGTTACTTGGTTTCTGTTTATTTTTGCACTTTTTTTCACATAAATTTGAACATATGATTATGTTTATGCAGATGAGTATGCCATTAACAACTAGTAATATTACCAAACCAGTTTTTCCTATGCTGTATTGTGCATCATATTCATCATCTCCTATAAAGTACTTAATATATTAACCATTACACATACAACATACTTATTGGCTTTGTTGGTGTGACTAAGCAATAGGTCTCATTGAATTTTAGTCTTGATTTTCCAAATTCTGTTTCATTTATTTTAAATGATACAGGTATATGTCCAGTACTGGGATTATATGATATGCTATAGTACTGATTTGGATGCTTAAAGCATGTGTCTAATGATTCCTACAGTAATTGATGATTCATACTATAATTAAGAAAATAATCTCTCACCAGTATTATATTCAGTGTAGCATTGACACAGCAAATATTATTTTTACAAGGATCAGTAGTATTAGTTATGTTTATTGTAACACTCATCACTTCAACAGGAGCTACAAATCAAAATTAGATACATATTATTCATACATATATTCTTACCAAGTGTGAATGGTTCACTGATGTTACTTTCCTGTTCATTCCACCCTCTAACAGTGTATGTATAGGTTACATTTTCTAATAAGTCGCTTGAGTTTATATGTATAGCTGTTTTGCTAGTATTATACATCAATACACTGGTTGATGTACATGAACAACTAACAGTCACTTGATACACAGTAGAAGTACAGTTATTCCCAGTGTCCTTCCATGCTAAAGTAACTCCACTTGCATTGAAGGTTGTTGTTAAGTTTGTCGGTGCTTTTGCATAATAACCTATTATTGATGTACAAAACATTGAAAAGGGTAACTAACATATTTGTTTACTCTTTCAAAACATGCATTTTACATGCATAACTCATATGCAGTTTTATCGTACCCTGCATTGCCATTTTTACATTGTAATATATTTAAGCTTAACAAAATAAGATTGCTTAATTATTGTATGTGCACACTAACCTGAATCAGTAACTGTTGTGTTCATTTTATCAGTCACATTTCCATTTGCACACTCAATATGTACACTCTCAGACTGATTAAGATTAAAGGTCAGTATTGAAGTGTTCAGGCCTGTATAAGTTGTATTAAATGTGAAATTATAACCATAATGATATTCTTCATTTGTTGTAGCTTTATTGAATAGAACACTTAGGATTTGGTTCCACATTACATGGTCTATGTGACGATAACTTATGAACCAGTCTAGAATACCACTATTTGATGTGCAGCTGCATTCTATTCTATCCCTTGCACATACTGGCCCATCAGTGCATGTAAAGTTAGTGATAGCACCATCTGTATAAAATTGAATAGTATGTATTAGCATCAAAATGTTTTACACAGTCATAATGTTAATGTTTGAATGGTATCAAAGGCTTACCTGTTATCCCAGTGCAGACTAGTATGAGCCCTAATAACAGAGCTGAAGCCATTATCATCCCAATGGTTGAACTGAACAAAAAGCACAAACAATCACTTCAGTATATTCATATCCATAAGGGACAGATCAGATTCCTGGTCACATGCCCACCCATTCATTGCGTATTCATTTCTAACATAGTACAATTGGCTAAATATATACATGTTGTGCAGCATGAAATTAAACACCTTTTTTGGTATATAAAGTAAACACACATATAGGGTATATAGATCTAGATCTATTTATAGATTTATGTAA